GGAACGGTTGGTGCAAGGGCTGGAGGGAGGCAGCATGTCTGGCCTTGCAGTAATAGGCCTTGGGTTACTGCTGGTAATCCTGTCTTCCTCTTGTGGGATTAGAGGAGGTCAGAACATGTGGCCTCCTTGCAGTTTTTGCACTCTCTCAATCTGAGATCTTGGATGTCTCCCTAGTTTTGAGAATTTTTCAGCTATTACTTTTTCAAAAATTATCCCTTTCCCCCGCCCCCCAACCCACCCCGAACTCCTTTCAGGTGGATGTTTTTGACCCTTCTAGATCTATGTTTCAGGCCTCTTACTTTCTTTCATACTGCCCATTTCTTTAACTCCTTGTGCTATATTCAGGAAATTTGCAGCCTCATTAATTCCTTTTTCCAATGGGTATCATCTGCCATTCAGCTCATTTTAGTTTTTATTTCAAATACACACACATACATATATATTCCCAAGCTTTTCAATGGTTCTTTTTCACTATTACCCTTTCTCATTTCAGTAATTTAATATCCCCTCTTACCTCTCTGAAGATATTTATCAAGTATATTTATTTTAAAGTCCTGCCCTGTCCTATTAATTTGGTTTCCTCAAGTATAACTTCTTCAGTTTACTGGTTTTTGTGGTCTTCAAATATATTAGGCTTTTCTTAATGAATCTTTTGATGAGCAGAAATTTTTAATTTTGATGAAGTCTTATCAAAAATTTTTTATGGTTATTGCTTTCTGTCTTCTAAAAAATCTTTGCTTAGCTCAGATTGCAATGATATGCTCCTCTACATTTTTTTTTCCTAAAAGCTTTATAGTTTTAGCTTTTATATTTAAATCCATGACCCACTTGAAATTATTTGTGTGTAAGTTGTGTGTTTTGGTTCTCTAACGCTGCTCAAAACAGTTGCAGCAGTGTATTGACAGAGAACTTCCAGAAATGCAAGCTGGATTCAGAAGAGGATGTGAAATGAGAGATATCATTGCTGATGTCAGATGGATCTTGGCTCAAAGTAAAGAACACCAGAAAGATGTTTGCTTGTGTTTTATTGACTATACAAAAGCATTCAATTGTGTGGATCATAACAAATTATGGATAACATTGAGAAGAATGGGAATTCCAGAACACTTAATTATACTCATGAGGAACCTGTACATAGTCCAAGAGGCTATTGTTTGAACAGAACAAGGGGACACTGCATGGTTTAAAAATCAAGAAAGCAGTGCATCAGAGTTATATCCTTTCACTGTACTTATTCACTCTATACGCAGAGCAAATAATTTGAGAAGCTGGACTATATGATCATATCAGGATTGGAGGAAGACTCATTAATAATCTGTGATACACTGATGACACAACTTTGCTTGCTGAAAGTGAGGATGATTTGAAGCACTTACTGATGAAGACTGAAGATTACAGTCTGCAGATGGTTTACACCTCAATATAAACAAAAAAAAATCCTCACAACTAGACCAATAAGCAGCATCACGATAAATGGAGAAAAGACTGAAGTTGTCAAAGACTTCATATTACTTGGTTCTACAATCAACACCAATGGAAACACCAATTGAGATATCAGACGACATACAGCACTGGCCAAATTGGCTATAAAAGACTTCTTACAAGTGCTGAAGAACAAAGAGATCTCCTTGAAGACTAAGGTGCACATGACACAAGCCATGGTATTTTCAACAGTCTCATATGCCTGTGAGAGGTGGACAATGAATAAGGAAGACCAAAGAAGAGTAGATGCTTTTGAAATGTGGTATTAGGGAAGAATGCTGAAAGTACCATGGACTGCTAAAAGAACTAACAAATCTGTCCCAGAAGAAGTGCAGGCAGAGTGCTCCTTGGAAGCAAGAATGGCCAGACTTCGTCTCACCTACTTTGGTAATGTTGTAAGAAGGGACCATTCCCTGAAGAAGGATATCATGATTGGTAAAATGGAGGGTCAATGAAAAAGGGGAAGGCCCTCAATGAGACGGATTGACACAGTGGCTGCAACGATGGGCTCAGGTATAGCATGGATCATGGAGCTGGCAGAGGACCAAGCAGTGTTTCGTTCTGCTATACACAGGATCACTATGAGTTGGAGATGACTCGATGGCACCTAACAACAACAAATAACATCTGGGGATTCCTGATAGTGATATCATCTTTGCATCTACTAGACTCTTCATTACCTTGCCTTGCATGGCTCTTTTTAGGGGAGAGAAAAAGACAAATGCTGGAGCTTGTGCTCATTAACTGCTTTAACTGAGATAGGGGGTTAGGTGAGAGATATAATTTCTAACTATTCTACACTCTTCCTGACATCACAGGCACCTAAGATACTTCCTTGTCTTTCTGCTCCAAACACTAACTTGCTACTGTCAAGCTGTTTCTGATTATAGTGACCTTAGAGTAAAGAACAGAACTGCTCCACTGGAAACAGGGTTTCTAAGTCTGTAAATCTTTACAGAAGCAGACTCCAGCAGAACAGTTGGTAGGTTCTAATCACTGACCTTTCAGTTGGCAGCCAAGCACTTTCACCACTGAGCCACCAGGAGTCCTTGCTCCAATCGCTACTTTCACTGAAAGAAGATACCACTAGGGTGAAAGGGGGCAATGTATAGATATCAAGTGTCCTGATTACTTCTGTGACAACAGACCCTGGGCCCTCCATCAGCCCCACAGCACCACAGTGTATCAAGGCACTTACTGGCAGAGTTAAAAGAGCTTTGTAACACTTGCTGGAGCAGGGCAGCGGCCAAGGGGCCACAGAGCCAAGAGGCAGAGGGCCAGAGAGAGGCACTGCTGAGAGAAGAGGCTGTCCTGATTGAAGAACTATATCCCAAGTTGTTTCTGATCCTGAATTGTAACCTGTTGCTTCCCTAATAAACCCAACAACCATGAGTATTATGTGAGAGTTCTGTGTGGTCACTGCAAAGAATTACTGAACCCAGAAGATAAAAATATAGGGTGGAAACATGTCTCACCTCTGCCTCATAGGAATCAACCTTGTGCTGATCCTTCTCCCCCCTTGTGAGGTCAGAGGAGATCAGATGCCACTCCTACCTCATTTATGCATTCATACCAGAATTAGACTATCAGCAAAAACGAAAATGTCTGTGAAAGAAACATCCTAACTCACCTCTGTGATTTGCCCAGTAAAAGTAATTTGGTTGATTTGTTGTTGTTGTTGTTGTTATGTGCCATCGAGTCGGCCCCGACTCATAGCGACCCCTCCTTGGGTTTCCGAGGCAGTATCACTACGGAAGTAGGAAATCAAACTCACTGCCATCAAGTCGGATTTGATTTATAGAGACCCCTCCTTGGGTTTCCCAGGTGGTATCACTATGGAAGTAGATTGCCCAATCTTCCTTCCGAGAAGTGGCTGGTGGGTTTGAACTGCCAGCCTTCTGGTTAGCAGTCAAATGCCTTAGGCACTATGATACTAGAGCTTCCAATCGGTTATTAACGCAGATTAAACTTATGGACTTCAAATGCAATGTCTTCCACAAAGAAACTTCTAGAAAAGTACGTATACTCACCCAGCCCAGAGATGTTTATTGCTTTCACCGACTTCTTCATTTTGTAGAGAACCATCCGGTCCACATCCAAAGCCTAAAATAAAGAGAATGTATAAATCAAAACATATGTTAGCAGTCAGATCATGATTACTAGAGAGTGGCCACATGACAGTCACTCTGGAGGCCCCAGCTCAACTTTGTTAGGCTACAGTAGGGCTGGCTATTCTGTGGGACAAATCTTCAGTGTGTGTAGAATATTGGTTTTCAAACTGCACAACTTTGCTAAGCAGAAGTTTTGTTGTTGTTGTTATGTGCCGTCGAGTCAGACTCAACTCATAGCGACCCCTCCTTGGGTTTCCGAGGCAGTATCACTACGGAAGTAGATTGCCCCATCTTCCTTCCGAGGAGTTGCTGGTGGATTTGAACCACCAGCCTTCTGGTTAGCAGTCAAGTGCCTTTAGCCACTATGCTACCAGAGCTCCCAGAAGTTTTAGCTACTATATACCAACTCCATCCACACTTGCCTCATCCACTGAAGCATGTGAACTGCCTCTGGGCCACACTATCTGTTCAACATTAGCCTTCTGCAGTGAGATTAGTTAACATGGACATACTTTACTTCTACCAAGTATCAGTTCTTCCTTTGTACCAATAAGACTTTGTGAAGTACTTGCCTGCCAGGGGCTGCCCGCTGTACTTGTACTCCTTCCCATTACAAAAAGAAAGGACTGTAAAAATGGGAAGTGACTGTGGAGATGTGGTGAGACATGACTACTACTATAATATTACTATAATACTAATTATGTTATTATATTATTAAGTTTCTCTTAAGTTTATTTGTCAAACCAAAACATCTGTAGGAAATCTAGTAAGATTCTGAATGCGTAAGTATAATGAACACCATCAAATACTAAAGACTAAGGATTACCATTTTTATTACTGTAGTATGTATCTATCTAAGAGAAGGTATAAGCATAAAAGAACAGTTTCAGCAAGACAAGAGAAAACCATTAAGAACCCACATACAGGTAATGCTACAGATTTTTCACAAGTGATCCAAACCAAGCCCACTGCCATCGAGTCACTTCCCACTCAAGGTGACCTATAAGGGCAGAGAACGGCCCCACAGGGTTTCCAAGGCTATAAATCTTTATGGAAGCAGACTGCCTCATCTTTCTCCTGCAGAGCAGCTGGTGGGTCTGAACTGCTGACCTGTTGGTTAACAGTTGAACGCTTTTAAGCCTTGCACCACCAGAGCTCCATTCAAAAGTGATATGGGGGTGAAATTTCCTTTCAACCCAATTAAACAACAAAGGAGAAAAGAGCAATGGTTGTTAACTTTTAGTTGTTGTGACTGGGGGGAACTGTAGAACTATGATGGCTATACCAATTACAGGGTTATTGTAAAGACTATGATAGCATAGTGCCTAAGGCACTTGACTGCTAACCAGAAGGCTGACAGTTCAAACCCACCAGCCACTCCTCAGAAGGAAGAATGGGCAATCCTATTTCTGTAGAGATACTGCCTCAGAAACCCAAGGAGGGGTCGCTATGAGTCAGGGCTGACTCAACGGCACATAACAACAACAACATGAAAAACTGCAAAGGAAGCACCTCCTGCAATATTTGGTACACAGTAGGCACTCAATAACTACTATTTATTATCCATTTAGACGTCCGATTAAAATAAATAAATAAATACAAAGGTCTATCATCTGAAAGAGAGTACTGTAACTCAAAGACATAGATTCTGGACTCTCAGCCTTCCTGAATCACCTCTTGAATCCATTTTTTAAAAGCAGCATCAAAAGTCCTAGTTCTATGCAACACTGACTATTTTACTGGATGCTGAAAATAGATGTGATTAGTGGTGACAATATTAAACAGGAAAAATGGTTACAAGGCAGCAGGGATTGGACAGAGTGGTTACAATACTAAGGGAAGTTTTAATAAAAAGCTTTATTTTCTGACAGGCTGTAAAAAAGGACAGATAAGAACTGATACTGTTGTTATGTGCCATAGAGTCGGACCCCGACTCATAGCGACCCCTCCTTGGGTTTCCGAGGCAGTATCACTACGGAAGTAGATTGCCCCATCTTCCTTCCGAGGAGTGGCTGGTGGGCTTGAACTGCCAGCCTTCTGGTTAGCAGTCAAGTGCCTTAGGCACCACGCTACTGATATTATATAGTCAAAAATTCTTGTAGAGAATTAATGCTTATTTCCACAGGTGGTCATATCTAGTCTGTTCTTGAACTTCTCTTGAGATATAAAAGTGACTTCCACAAGTACTTGAACCTATGGGCTCGGGACCATGGTCACAGGGGACATCAAGCTCAATTGGCATACCATACTACACAAAAACATTGTTCCACATCCTACTTTGGCAGGTAGCATCTGGGATCTTAAAAGCTTGCAAGTGGCCATCTAGATGCAATGATGGGTCTCTCCTCTTCAGAGCAAAGAAGAATGAAGAAAACCAAAGATGTATGGAAATAATTAGTCTAAGGGACTGGTACACCTTGTGTTCCTCAGCCTATATGACTATTAGACTACTGTCAACCACTTGGAGGGGGGTCTGTGTAGAAGATGCTAGATACAGGAGGAGAACTATGTGGAACAAAACTCAAAATCATTGAGAGAAAAAAAAAGGGACCAGGTTGGCTGGTCTGACAGAGCCTCGTGGAACCCTGAGACTATGGCCCCTAGCTGTCCTTTGGGTCTGGAATTGAACCCACTCCTATGGCTTCCAGCCAAACAAAAGACAGGCATATGAGGTGAACATTTACATTAGGTAGATAAACTCTTTGGAGAGAACAATCATGAGAGAATAGAAGGGCTGTGTATGTACAGGGAGACAGCTTGGGGGGGGGGGCAAAAGTGCATGAGAGGGAAGGACACAAGGAAGAGGTAGCTATGGGAAGTGGGAGGGGAGTTGTTGCATTGTGGGAGATTACAGTCAATGTCATGAGACAAAGTGTATGTGAACTGCTGTATGGAAGATGAATTTACTCTGTAAACTTTCACCCAAATCACAATAAAAAATTTACCAAAAAAAAGTGACTTCCAGGGGGCCAGTGCTCTGAACTACTAGTGCCAGCAATCAGACTGAGGATTTGTTCAGGGCTTTGTCAGAAACACTACACATCCTGAAACTATCAATCGAGTGTCAGAGAGCATAGCTCTCGCATACAAAGATACAAGTTCAGTGTAGCCAACAATGCTCTGCTAAAGTTCCCAATCCCCAGGTGAAAAGCCATTATTGAAAAACATTTGATCTAATAACGATCGAGACTAGCACTATGATAGAATTTGGTCCTGCCCAGTCTTTGGAACTGACTAGGACAATGTCTGATTTCCATTTAAACAATAAAACCCACTCCTCTTTCTAAATCTTACCACAGGTAGGAGAAGACACAGCCACTAGACTGGTAGGCTCTATGCAAGCATTAAAATTAGGTCAATATTTTTATTAAGAACTTCCTATATGCCAGAATGAAACAACCACTTTAAGGAGAGAATAAGTAAGAAAAACCCATGTAGCAGTTCCCAGCCCCAGATAAGGTTCCCTGATGTCCTCCGAATGTGTATAGTCTAACACAACTTTAAAAAATTTTTTATGAGACAGGCATATGAGATGAATATTTACATTAAGTAGATGCACTCCTGGGAGCTCTGGGAGCTTAGTGGCTAAGGCACTTGACTGCTAACCAGAAGGCTGGCGGTTCAAACCCACCAGCCACTCCTCGGAAGGA